CCCCAAAACCCCAAAACCCCAAAACCCCAAAACCCCATTATGCTTTAAATATTGGCCATTTTTAATATAGATGCACTGAAGTTGATAGAATAATTAAAACTTAGAGAGAATTATAATCATGCCTTTCTAACGAGGATATATTCAATGGCTTCAATAAGTAGGGGTTTTAGAGGCATGACTGGAATCTTAAATAGAACTTATGCAGATTAGGTATTTCCATTGTGTGGGTTTGCGATCTCAAGCAGTAGGGGTAGTTTATTTATAGTAAAGGCTCCGAAGTATAGCATTGTTTGCTGGGTATCGGCTTTAGTCACTTTAGCCAAATTTTCGAAACCGTTTTTCTTAAGGCCGTCAATTAGTGAGGCTGGAACATCTCCAGATTAAGTGAAGGCTCCATAGAGACTATCAAATGACATTGAAGTCTCATTAGCTTTTGGAATCATTTCCCAGAATTTCTTAAAGTCTTCGCGAGACATGGGCTAACTTTGATCTATCAGGCAGTGAAGCATACAATGAATGTTGAAATAGAATACATCTAAGTTTGTCTTTAAAGCTGACTCAACCATGAATGGACTCTTTGGAGGATTCTTTGCGTCCAAATTCTTCTTATCGATAACACATGGGAGTGAAAATTCAGCATTCTATCCTGGACCTATTGGTCTAAAGATTGAAGCGGCATTATATATAGCAATACCGAAGGGATTCTTGTTAAACATCAGATCAAAATCAGATATTGGCTGTTAAGTGTGATTGATAATCTCCAAATCAACTACAAGATTAGTGTTCTCCTTCTTCCTGAATACTGCTTTCACTTGAATACCACTGTTTCCCTTAGGATTTTTAGTGTGTTATGAAAGGGCTTCTTTCAATGGAGGGTAGGCAAAATCTAGAGTAAGTTTTACCTCTGGTGTGGAACCAAAAGCACCCATATTTGCCCATCCCATACCACCATCATCTTCATGATCATTGGTTGCTCCGAATAGATTTTACTGACCGAATGGACTGGTATTCTATTATTAGATCTGCTGGAATTAGTTCAATGGTTGGATTTATTGTTGCTATTATTATTGGAATTAGTTGCCATATCCAAAGTCAAGCCCTGACAAAGCATTTTATTATTGAGAAGTTTATTGATAAGATTATGGAGTTGAATCTCCCATCCCAAGTAAATCATCAATGTCGATTCCATTTGATACTGGTTAAATAGTAACTGGAGCTGGCTCATCCTTCTTATTCTTGCTTGATATAGGTTTTTCGAGTTCAGGATGTTTCTTTGGTTTTAACTTAGGCTTCTCTTCTGACTCATCATCTGATTTCTTTGCCTTTGCTCTAGTCTTCTTGTTAGTAGGGCTCTTTGATCTCTCCTTAGACTCTTCAGCCTCGTCTTCTTTCTTTGCTTCATCTTTCTTTGCAGCTGGTACTTGTAAAGTTCTTCTTTGCATAAGTGCTAAATCTTCTGGTGTCTTGTGATAAATACTACTCAGAGTTGAAATCTAATCAATGAGTGATGAGATTAAATCCTCGTTGTACTGGTTATAAGAATCCTCTGAAATGTTTGGTTTATCTCCCAACACTACATACTTTGTCTTTTGTGGAGAAGTTGAAAGCATTCTCCAGTAGATGTAGGCTCTGTCTCTGAGATCTGGATTATCAGCTTCTTCAGTTGCTAACTTCAGAACTCTCTAAATAATCTACTCTCCTTCATCTGGCTTCTTTAGATACAACTTGACTGCAGCAGTAAGCAATGAAAGCTTGACTTTATCATGATCTTCAATGAAACTATCTGCAAATCTTTCAATCAAAGCTTCAGCCTCATTGATCTTCTCTGCATACTCTCCAATGATCCATATAATTGAAGCCTTAGACTCTGGTTCATTGTAGTCATCTAATTTGAGACATAATTGCTTGATCAATGACTCGTATTTGTCTGGGAATTTACGGAAGATATCCTTTGCCACGATGACTGCCTCCTAAACTCCGATCTCTCCTCCTTAGGTAACTATCTCATGAATAATTTCAACTGCTTTACTTGCAGCCTTGTCGACCTTCAAGATTATCTGGCCAATGGCTCTTACTGATTTCTTGACCAATTCAGGATCAATATCCCCTGAATACTCCTTTAACTCAGCTAGAATAGTTTCAACATTCTTGTCATCAGCCACCTTGACTAAAATATCGATTTTCTCTAATTTCACGTAGACAGGGTCATTATACTTGCAGAAGAACACTCTCACGTTCTACTCAAATAAATGCGAATACTTCTGCAGAATAAAGTTGATATTCCTCAGAGCCACATATTGAATCTCAGCCTCGGTAGAAAGTAGAGTAATGAGAGGTGGTCCGAGTTTCTTAATGATGCCCTTGAGTAGGTCTTGAGTGCTTACGTTATTCATGAACTTAAGCACAGTTTTGACTGCTGAAAGAATAACAGCTGGGTTGTTATGAGTGAGCATTGGCAAAACTCTCTCCACAATGTTCTCGCTTTCCTTGGAATCTGAAGTGTCATAGGATGAAATACCCTCGAGGATGTAAATTTTACCCCATTCGTTGGCATCATTCAAAGCTATCAAGAGTTTATTGAGGCCTTGATCGTTCTTTAATCTCAAATAATTCTTTCCACTTGCTCTTGAGATTTCTAATAATGATGCAGCTGCATTTGCTACTACAACTGCATTTCCATCATAGAGCATGCCTTAAAGGATTTTAATCAATGAATGATCTTTGACTAATCTAGGACTGGTTTGGAATAATTTGGCTACTCCGAGAGCAGCAGTCTTTTTCACATATGGATCCTAATCATTTAATCTCTCCTTCAAAGACTCACACATATACTCTGTTATTCTCTCAACTCTAATACAGCCCATAGTTCTTACTGCAAGTGCTCTCATCATAGGACTTTGAATATCTCTTGAGTCCTTTTAGAATGAATTTACTGCCATAATAGTAAGGTCTGGCTTGACTTTGGCGTAGTTAATAATGTAGAGGTATACTAATTTTTTAAGCTCCATCTGAGTTGTTTCCATGCACTTCACCATGTGTGGGAAGAGAGAACTCACATCCTTGCCAATGGTCATCATAGCGATGACTTGCTTGGCAGCTTCACGCTTTTCCTCGGGCTTTAGAGAGTTCAATTCATGCTGTAGCTCTGCAAGCTCGCTGCTTTTCATGTTTTGGAAATAGTTTGTCATATTTTAGCTGACTAAGATATTTATAATTCTAAATTCAAATTACTATTAAAGTTTGCCCTCCTCCGATTTCTCAGTTTTTCAAATTTTAAATCAATCGCCTATAATGGGGTTTTGGGGTTTTGGGGTTTTGGGG